AATATTCATATTTATAATGCAACAGAAATTATCTACTTTGGAACTTTTATGTATGATGAAAAATTTAGGTGGCAACTTGTCCAAAAGAGTACTTTTTTTATGATTAAATACATTCATTTTGATGAACTCCTCAAAAAGTTCATTACAATATTAGAATTCCATTAAAATGCAAAATAACTTTGCATTTAATTTTCCATGTACATTTATGATGTAACTTTTTTCTCATTTCTATTTTTAAATTGATACATTAACTACATATTTATGAAGTACAGTATGAGATTTTGATACATGCATATAATATGGACTCATCAGAATAGAGTGATTAGCATATTTATCACCTCAAACATTTATCATTTCTCTGTGGTGAGAACTTTCAAAATTCTTTCTTGTAACTATTTGAAGTATATAATATAGTATTTTGTTAAGGTTTTTGCCTTAGGGCATGTTTGGTCACTAGAGAGAGACAGTGAGAGGGAAAGTGAGAAATCATTTCCCGGGGGAATGGCCATGCCACTATTCCTTTTCTTCCAGTCTCCTTTTGGGACTGTGAACACACATACATGCCCAGCATGATTTTCAAGTCATTAGCTCCAGGACTTGAACTGTGGTGGACTATGCGGGAGTCCAGTGACTTAACCAATACACCACTTGCTAGCCCAAATACAGTATTGTTAATGACAGTCACTCAATTGCACACTAAAATGTGTGCCTCCCATCCATAGCCTTGTACCCATTGGCCAGTCTCCCCCTGTCTCCTACCCCACACCTTGTACTCTTCCAAGCCTCTGGTAACCATTATTCTTCTCTCTACTTCTGTTTAAAAGTCTACAAATGAGGGACCAGCAGTTAGCATAATGACTATGTCGCTGGACTCCCACGTAGTCGACCACGGTTCGCGTCCCAGAACCAGTGGCTTAAACTCTCCAGGCGCATTTGCGTGCGTGCCCAAGATCCCGAGAGGAGAATGGAGAAGGGATTGCAGCGTGGCCATCCCCCCTGGGGGGTGATTTCTCGCTTTCTGTCTCTCTGTCTCTCTCTGTCTGTCTGGCGAGCACACACGTCCTATAGCAAATACCTCTCCAAAAAGAAAAAAAAAAAGTCTACAAATGAGTGAGGTCATGTGGCATTTGTCCTTCTGCATCTGACTAATTCATTTAGGATGATATCCAGGTCCATTCCTGTTGCTGCAAATGAAGGATTGCATTCTGCTTTATGGCTAGGAGTATTCCGCTATGTAAATACACCACTTTTCTTCTTTGTTCATCCACTCATGGGCACTGACATCGACTCCATATCTTTACTGTTGAGAATAGTGTGACAATAAAAATGAGAGGGGAGCCGTCTCTTCTATGTGCTGATTTCAACTCCTCTAGACATATACCCAGTAATGGAATTGTAGGATCTGATGGTAATTTTATTTTTAGATTTTTGAGGAAACTTCATACTGGTTTTCACAAAGACTGTACTGATTTTTCCTAACTCTTTTTGGCAGTATGTGAGCAAAGCAGCATTCAAGAGCATTGGTCAGCTTGTCATTATCATCTAGCTGTTTCTCTTGCTATGACATTTGTTCATGTGCTTCAAATTACAATTTTCTTAATGACTTTCCTTAATTGTATAAGTCATCAGGTATTACGTTGTTTTCTCCTGCCATTTTAGTGTTCCAATGAAATGCAGTTTACACTTTCCAGCCTGTATCTTCCATGCAGTCTTCCGTGTATGATATCCTTTGGCAATGTTATTATTTGTTGTCAGTTTATTCTTTGGACATATTTCCGTTTACTTATTATATCTTTATTGTTGTCTAGTTTTCTGTTTAATTCATCAATATTCTTAATTCTAATTTATGTATTTTTATTTTCAGAATCTCCATTATTATTTGTAATTTCTTCTTTGAAAAAACTGTGTTTTGTTATTTACTTTTTATCATGTGACTGAAAATAGATTTATAATTCATGTTGGTAGAGTCTGTAGTGTTTCTTCTGTTTTTAAATACCCATATTTTTATTGAATTCTGCTGTCGTGATAAAAATTTGTTAAAATAATTTTAAATAATTGATGATGTTTTCTTCCTTCAGAGGAGATTTACTTCTGTTTCCAACCATGCTTTAATATACTTTGACTTGAGCTATTTGAAATGCAGTATCAGACTGAATGAAAGCTAGTGGATTGTTTTCTTAGTTTCTTTTTTCTTTACTCTTTGGACATGTAGCCCATCTACAATAGATTACTATAAATCTTGAGACATTTCCTGCCTCTCCCATAGCTGATCAGTGCCAATTTTTGCTTTGGTACTCAGCAAAACTCTAAGAGAAAAGGTTTATCCCACGTGGAGCTCTCGTCCAAGTTATTTTTTTCTTTTCCAAATTAGCCCCAAAATTCTTCAATGATTTAGTAACCTACTTATTTCATCAAATAAATTATTTTAAATATTTTGTCTAGGTTTTCTAGTTCTTTGCAATGAGAAGATTGATTCAAAACACAGCAGTCCTGCAACACTGGAAAACCCATATTTTACTCTGTCTTTCTGTATTTGTAGCATTTTCCTGGCTTCATATCCGGTTGTTAAAATAAACCCGTAGGCTGGGACCTCAACTCCTGAGTGTACTCTCAACACCAACTAGACCTGCTCTAACGACAGTGTTGGCAGTATTTCCACTCTCTTGTTTTTGTACGTTTTAGATATTCCCTTGGGCATCTTCCCAGGCACTCAGAGTTGTCTACTGAGGGAGTCAAGTTCTCTCTCTAGGCAGCAATTATTGTTGATGTGGGGGTCTGATTATAAAATTAGCAAAGGTTGAATGATCTATCCTTTAAGCTCTTTTCCCTAAAAATCTTTATTTGGTTTTACGTAATGTGAATTTTCTTAACGTACCAATGTACCCGTGTATCTCATCTGAGCAAGAATGCGCTTATGTCTGACACTGAGCTCATGATTGCTTGCAGCCAGTCATCTTTCTAAAATTATTTTCTGCCCTCTCTATTTCTAAAAGCACTATTGTTGCAAAATGAAAGTTGTAATAAAATAACTTGTTCTATGACTGTCAGTGTTACCTGAGTCCTTTGATTTTCAAAAGAAATTAAGCTAGAAGTAGATCAAAGTTCTTAAATAACTGGTACACACACAAAAATAAAATTGGATGCCTTAGATATTTTAATAAACATAATTTTTCAAATAGGAGTCACCTGTTAGTTTTTTAAAATTTATTTTAGTTTAATTCTGCCAAAGAGTGTATAAACTTGATGAAGAGAGACAAAAAGAGAGAGAGAAAGAGAGAGCAAAAGTTGAAAGCACCCCCAATGTCGCATAGTTATGCCACAATATCGGTTTTTCCATTTTTCCTTTCAGAATTTTGGGCATACACACACCTGTGCCCGGTTAGTTTTTCAAGTTGTTCAGTCCAGGACTCAATGTGTGCAGTCAACCACAGGGATCCAGCCATGGACTGATCTGATAAATATTTCTTATTTGAAATGAAATAAAAATTAATCAAAACCCAACATATAAGTGATAGGAATATGTTTTCTGACAAAAATATGGGAGAGGTAATCTGAAAGTGTAATATAGGCACGCTTCTCAAGATTCTTGCAAAGCAGATGTTTTCCCTA